GGGATATGATTTAAATCAGACTTAAATGCTGTTTGTAGTTTTAAAGTCTTACGTATATTGGAAGTTAGAGTCAAGATTTGGTGTCAGATAAAAATAGCTATAATCCTTACTTTTCTGCTTATTTACTCTGTGACTTTGGGTAAATTTTTCAGTTTAATTGAACTTTACATTCATTATTTGAATAAGAGATAAATGTCTTACTAAGTTCACAGAGGAAAATAGGTGAGGCCTAATAAAAGTCTAATAGCCATTTTATCATTATTAAATGGAAGATCAATAATAATTTAGCTAATAGCATTATTTCTGCTCCCCAAATTTCAATTTATTCGTGTGCCTTTCACTTCATGCCTCCTAATCCACCCATCTTCCTCCCCACCCCAAAATAAAACAAAATAAAATTTAAGAGAAAAAGGAAAATAAGACAAAGGAAGAAGGGGGAAATCTCATCATGGAAGCTGCAGTGACGCAGGGAGTCAGGCCGTGAGCCCTTTCTCCGTAGATGTTTACATGCAGGCGTTCATCCCAGAGAATCTGCTGCCCCATCGATGCCAGGCCCTTGCTGGGACTCTTCCTGGACATATTCTTGCTTCCTTGTGTCATGGGGATTCTCTGGGTCTATCTAGGATGGTCAGCCTGCCAGCTCTCCTCTGTCTTCACCACCGGGGTGGGCTCTCTCACTGCTTTGACTGGTTCACCCCTCGCAACGATGAGCAAGGGGCCGATCCAGTTCTCCCGCTTTCCTGTCTTCAGGGTCAGTTCTCCCACACCTACATCTCAGGGCCAGCTCTACTGTGCTGCCTCAGGTGTTGATGGAGTGGGCACCTCTCCTGGTCCGTGCTGCCACACGACAGATAAGTTGTGGGAACAACTCTCCCTGCTCATAGCTTCGCGGCTGGCTCACTCACATACAAATATATTTTAAATAAAACTTTTATCTCTAGAACTTAGCATAACATTGTCCCTTAATTTTATGCTTTATCATTATCTCAAAGTGAGGACTTTAACTTCAGTCAGTGAAATCTAAAGAACAATGCTTTATACTGGACATTAAGAATATAGCTTTACAACCTAGCACTGCTCTCAGATTTTAGGGTGAAAAGGGGGACTTAGGTACGTCAGGCATACAGATAGTTAAAGCATGTTTATGGCGAGTATATGACCAGCATAGCAACAAGGTGTCTTGGGGAAAGTTACACCGCATTCAATCCTGCAGTGTGTATGTGAGAAAGAATGTGTCTGAGAGCAGCTCTCATGGGACAAGTTCGGATACAGAACATTCCACCCAAATTTATGTTCGTGTTTGTGTATAACCTTCTCGTCCTCTAAGACTCAGTAAATTGAAGACAGAATCTCAGCAGTCCCAAACACTAAGTAATAGACACAATAAAACCCGATTTTATCATGTTATACATAGGCATTAAAATGCCTGCTGTATCCTGTACGGATGTATAGTTACTATATGTTGTTAAAGTTTAATGTTTTAGAGGAAAGCTCTCACTTCAGGACATCTTCACTTACAAGCAGAGGTGGAGGCTCTGCCCTTGGACTCATGCTGTCAACAAATGTAAATCGTTGGTGAAATTATCTCATGTATCTAAGTCTTAGATAATCATAGTACCAGGGATTTGGAAGTTAAAAATAAGTCTCTTGTTATCGTCAAACTTGTGGTCTAGTGGCAGAGAAGGCAGATATGGCTCGTAAACACAGAGGATAAGCAGCAAATAGTGGCAGAAGCCTCAATTGGTGGTCACAGGAAGCCTCTCTGAGGAGGTCATGTATGAGTAGAGTCTTCAGGTAAAGGAGTGATCACCCTGTCTTATAAAAGAGCATTCCAGCCTGGAAGGTCAGCCACAGGAGCATTTGCAGAATTCTCGAGAAACGGCTAAGGAGGTCAGCATGACTGGAGTGTGCTGAGCAAGGTGGGGGACGGGAGATGGGACGGACGTGTTACACGGCCAGATGACATTTCACCATGATGAAGATGAGTTTATAGCAGTAGGATAATGTGATGTGATCTCTTAGAAGACTCAGTCCTCCAGTTGTTTGAGAGACTGAGAAAGACAAGAATGAAACAGAACATGCAAGGCCTCACTAGTAGTTTACAGGACAGATGCTGTTCAGACCAGTGTAACTGGGATGATCGGTTGAACTCTGAGACTAAGAATTGGAAAGTGGGGTTGATGAGATCAGTCAGTGAGGGAAGCACTCGCTTCCCAGCCCGATGACCTCAGTTTGTGCCTCACGGCCCATATAGTGGGAGGAGAGAGCCAACGCCTGCAGCTGGTCCTCTGACTTGCACACACACAGTGAGTATCCACAGACAGACACATATGCACATGCACACACATGCATACAAAACAAACAAAGATAATTTTAAAAAGTAATTGGATGAATTGTAAGCCTGTGTCTGTAGCCTGAGCATTCAGATAGTTGGTGTGGCTGTTAGTAAGGAGCACACATGGTGGGAAAATGCTGTGAGAAAACCTCTCATTCTTCTCACCCTAGGTCTGTATTCAAATAGCTGTGTAACCGTGGGGAAGTCTTCCTTTCTATAGACCTGGGGTTTTTTTCAGATATAAAATGAGGGATTAAAATATTTTCTTCTTATTGTAAAATCCCTTGATTTTATAATTCTATGGAATGGAAAATATTGAATTCTTCCTGTGTTTTTATGCAAAGACCCTGCCATCACTATTGTCTATTCCTAACCATAAGACACATGCATTTATACAAACATTTTATGGAATAAGTGCTCAAATTAGGATATCATAAGTTTGCATGCAAAGATGTATGCTGACTGTTATAAATCTTCTTTTTTGGAAAATAAAACAATAAAAGCTGATTAACCGTGGAGGTAAAAGACATTTGAGTTAAGTGTGTAGAGGATGTCTGCTCGTCACTCTTCTTGTTTCTAGAAAAAGCAATTTAAGGAATGACTGGGTTCTGTTGACTTAGAGATGGAGGCAACAGGAACTGGAGGCAACTGGTCATAGTGATCCACAGTCTGAACACAAAGCATGATGCGTGCTGTTGTTCAGCTGGCTTTCCCTTCATATGCAGCCCAGGAGCCTCGGCCAAGAATGATGCTGCCCACATTTAGCATGGGGCGTCCCACTTCAGTTAATGTACCGAGAATCATCCCTCGGAGGCACGGGCAAAGATAATGTAGATAATCTCCTGGGTGTGTTTCCTCTGTGAGTCTAGATCCTGTCAAGTGACAGGCTGTAATCACCATCACAGAGGGAGGGCATTCTGTGTAGTGAAGTCATGAACAGAGAGTGGTCTTAACGAGCAAAGTAGCGTTGGGAATTCTGGTGAAGATTCAGTGAGATTGGGGGATGTACGAACAGTGAGACATTAGTGACGGCAGGGTCAGAGCAGAGAGGACGCTGAAATGTAGGCCAGGACCAGCACCAGAAGTTTCTGGTAGAGTGTTGCGATACAAATAATATTAAAGAAGGACAAGAGTTAGAGCTCAGGGTTTAATGTCCGTGGAAAATCTTATGCCTGCTAAGCCATTTGAGACAGGAATTGAACCAACATCTGTGTGACGCTAGGGAGTCAGAATCTCCCATCAGGAGGTGTTATTGTGTGCACTAACCAAGGTGTGAAATGGGCAATGTGATCACAGGAATAGAAAAGACGACTTGAGCTGGGAGAACTAAAGAACCTGCTGGTTGGTGAGCCAGCGCGTGAACGGGAATGAGTGTGTGCCGCACTGCAGCGCTGCTCCTGGGCAGCTGGTGAGGTCAGGACACGGTGTGGTTGGTAACTAGAGACAGTGGAAAGACAAGAAGGACAAATGCAGGTCTGTCTGACTGGGAAACCCTGAAAGTGAGAGTCCTTAGATGTTAAGTGGTAAACAAGGATACATCAGATAGTTGAGAGCATGAGATTGAGGAGGGGCTGTGAGTACGAACACAAGGCTGAGACACAGGGCCAGACTTCAGTAAGGCTTGGGCAGAGAGGGTATTAAACAGGTGTGAGCCTACTGTCATTTCAAGTCACCCAAGTTGCCATGATGCAGTATTGGGGTTTCTTTTCTCCACATCTGCATACCTCTGCAAGAACTGTATTTTAATTTTTAAGTTCTTCGTTTTGAAGTTTTTATGATTATGGGTATTTTGCCTGCATGCACAGCTGTGCATGAGGTGTCTGCCTTCGTGTTTGCATTACCCGCCTTTCTCCTGCGAAATCCTACTTCCAGCTAGAACAGGACAGCAACAGCAGAAAGAGAAGAAAGATGGTTGGGCTTCTTTAAAATGAAAATATATTGTGTGCAAAAGGTACCACTCAGAGAGTGAAAAGGCAACTCACAGGAAAGAAATAATATTTACAAATCTTATACCTAGTAAAGGGTTAATGTTCAGATTGTATGCAGTCCGATCCAAACTGGGGGGGGGGAGAGGGGTGGAGCCAGGAATTGCCAGTTCAAGTCTAGCCTGGGCTACGCAATGAAACTGTGTCTCAAAAAGCCATAAAAGAAAGAAAGGACAAAAGGCTTTGGTAAACACTTTTCCAAAGAAGATCTACAAATGAGCTATTAAATACATGAATAAATGCTCAATATCACTACTAATAGAGAATATAAATCAAACAGGATTGACACTGCTTTGTACCCATGAAGATGACCATTTTTTAAAATTGAAAACAATAAATATTGACAAGGAATTGGAGCCCACAGCACTGCTGTTGTGACCATAAACTGACACAGCTACTGCAGAAAACAGTTAGTGGTTCGTCAGCTAAACCAGCAGAGTTGCTGTGCCTCCGCTGAACGATGTTTTCGCATTCACGGGAAGGTAAATGCTCTACCTTTGGCCGCTGTGAGCGGTGCTGGTGTGCAGGGTCTGTCTGAGTCCCTGCTTCCCACACTGCTGACCGTTGCCGTAGTAACGGTACTTTTTATCATTAGAGAAAGCGTGTGTGTGTTCTTACTGAGAACCAAGAGGTCCTGCTGTCGTGAGCGGTCTTTGTTCACAGTGATATCTTGCCTGCAGGATGAAGATGAGCTGGATTCACACACCATGGTGAAGAGGACCTCAGGAAGCGTGGGCACCATGCGGGCCACCAGCACCATGAGTGAAGGGGCCCAGACGATGATCGAGCACAACAGCACCATGTTAGAGTCGGACCTGGGGACCATGGTCATCAACAGTGAGGACGAGGAGGAGGAGGATGGAACCATGAAAAGTATGTGTCTTCTTCTCACTGAGTGATGCTTCTCTCAGTCGTATCCACACTGAAGCCAGATAAACTCTTCCTTTTTAGAAACAGTTATGGAAAATTGTGGTTTTAAACTTATTTGACAACAAAAGTCTGCCTTAAAAAAACTTTAAGATATATATAGCACTATGCATACATATGTGTGTGTTAAATATATATATATATTTAACTTAGGCTTATGGAACTTTTTTTTTACAAGCTACAAACTCATAATTTAATTTGTGAAATATTTTAAGGAGAGGATAATGTTTCTAACATTTACCTTTCCAATTAAAAAAGAAAACTTAAAAATTTGTTTTAATAAATATAGTACAATATTATTGTACATCGTCTAAATTATCGGTTACGCAACAGAGACGGAAGTACAAACTGGGGATGAAATCCTAGGAGGGGTTGCGCACAGGAGATGCCCCCAGGGGAAGCGCAGCTCCATGCTCTTATGGCTGCTTCTGCCGTGTGAAGCAGAGTGCTGGGTGGCCGCAGGGGCTGACACGTGCTGCTTACAGAATGACAAGATTCTAAATCCTTTTGTGGACTGCCCCACAAACCTGACCTGCAGTTAGCGAGCGGTGCAGGCACAGTGTTGCTGTGAGAGGGCAAGACTACTGGCTGTTCTTAGGTTCTCCCTGCTGTGTGCTCCTCTGGGGTAGGTTACCTTCCACTGCGTCCTTTTGTTTCTGAGTGGCAGAGAAGCAGGGATGGTCTGACCCATGTGTGATGAGGAACTGGTAGGATGTTTTGTCTTCTGGCTGGGACGGTATTGAGTTAACTTGAGGTGAGAGTTCTATCTCAATGTGTTTAATTCAACTACATTTTATTAGAAGAAATAGAAGATATATCTAGATATTTTAAGATTTATTTTATCATTTTAGTTTGTATATGTATGTGGGCCTGAGGGTATGTATGTGTACTGTGTGCATGCAGGTGCCTGCAAATCTCAGAAGATGTCTAAAACCCTGGAACTGAGCCTCCTCCATGTGGGTGCTGGGAACTGAACCCATGTCTTCTGCAAAAGCAACAAGTGATCCTTACTGCTGGGCCTCCTCTCCATGCTCAAATCTAGACATTTTAAGCATAGAGAAATTTAAGTTAAAATTATAGATGCTACTAAAACCAGTGGGCAGGTTGGAAGAGAAGGCTGTGTGAAGACCAGGCCTCAGGAATGAGTCTGATAGAGCTGCTCCTGCTGTCCCTAACTCGGGGCTGCTGTTGGCACTGGGATGTTGAGGCCTGGGGGTGTTTGGTGTATTGTGAGTTTGCTCGCAATCATTGGGCAGTGTATCTTGGCTGTGTGATTCTCTTTTACTACCACAAAGGACAAGCTAAACACAGAAATGCTGGTCTTCCCTGGGCAAATGAGTATCTGCTGCCGTCTCCAAAGAAAGACTTCCATAGACACACAATTATGTTTATTACTCTGTTCTTTGTGTTTAACCGAAAGCTCAGCTTCAGTTTGTCTGTTTCCTCCTCTTGTGCCCTCATTGGAGATGGACAACAGCTGGTCAGGGTTCTTGGCACAAGTGCCTTCGTGCACACTCTGGTCCTTCTTGGCTGTTCCCAGACCCTCCGCTGGACGCTGGGTTCTGCTGGCCTCCAAGCAGCTGTTCTTTCTGAACTTCTCACCTTCCTCGTAGCTAGGTTCTGGACCTTCCCTGGGTTTTGTGTCCTCTTGTATTTTAAAATACACTGTGATAAAGCTACGGGAAGCTGTTCCTAGTAGCTTGTATCCCATTCTGACTTTGTGTGTGTTTTCTTGGCAAATACTAATCAGATAGGGCACTCATTTTAAAATACTTGTAGTAGTACAAATGAGGTAATTCCATGAGTACCTTTGATGTTGACGTATACTGTGCTACATCTGTGAATTGTTACTTTGTTTCTTATACTTGAATATCTTTGTCACACCATTCTAAGAAATTAAAAAATCAAGTAAACTGCATTTAAATTATTTTTAAATTTCACATATTTATCTTTTCACGAAAGCTTGTTTTAGAAGACATATGCAAACTAGGAATAGTAGTGCTTATGATGGGTTGACATACTTTGCAAAATTATATTCCACATAATTTAGTATCCTTGTAAATATTTAAAGGAATGGATGAGATAGGAAACAGCTCTTTCTTTAAAGTTTCCTAGGGCAGAGGGAAATGAGTGGTGGTTATTTTTTTCTTTTGTTGCTACTGGGGTTTTGGTTATATAAGCAAGTAAGTTGAAAGAATTGGGCCAAAATTGAGGAACTAAGTAATCTTAAATATCAAGTTTATTATTATAATAAAATGTATTTTAATAAGCTGGGGTCAGAATTTAACTGCAGCTGGAGAAATTGATGTCAGCTTTATGTGGTTATCCTTTCAGTGTTGGAAGAAAATGTTTGCCATAGCAACCACAATCACATATGACTGCCTACCTCATTTGCACTGCAGGGCCCCAGAGTTCTCATGTCCACTCCTCTCTCTCAATAGCAAGGGAGGAACATCATCTTCTTTCTTCCCCTGGAGACTCAGATGCACACTGTTTTTCATGTGTTTCAAATTGTAAAGTAAAACATTAACTAGGCAGTTGCAGCTGCCCTTCCCGTTAACTTCAAAACAAACCCAATCTATTTTCCTCTTTAGAATGTAAAAGAAACTTGAACATTTTTTTGTGTGTCACAAAGGCACATTCTAAAGGCCAATAGTGAGTTTGAAGTGAGAATAGAAAATATTGATATATATAAGCACTTGCATCTAGGAAATCTGATTATGAAGTCATCCAAAAAGAAATATCTAATGGAGCAGACTGCCTTCTTTTGTTTAAGTTGTTTTTTAGATTTGTTAACTCTGTGTGAATGCTAATTTCTGACTTAGTGGGTTATTGTCCAGACTTTAATAGAAATAGGTGGTATCTTTTATTGAATATGTGTGCTAAATGTCTTTTAAGTTTTTGTCTGTGCCATTTATATTTTAAAAGGATTGTTCTTGTTGTATGTGTTTGGTTTTGCTCACGTGTATGTATGTGCGCTGTGTGTGCCTGCTGTGTGAGGAGGCCAGAAGACAGCCATATATGGAGACCCTAGAACTCGAGATACTGATGGCTGGAACACCATGTAAGTGCTGAGTATTGGTTCCTCTACAAGATCAGCCATCTCTCTAGCCCTGTGGCCCCTATTTGTTATGGCATTCTTTTTGTATAATTTTTTATTGATATTTATTGAGCTCTACATTTTTCTCTGCTCCCCTCCCTGCCTCTCCCCTCTTCAATCCTCCCCAAAGGTCCCCATGCTCCCAATTTACTCAGGAGATCTTGTCTTTTTCTACTTCCCATGTAGATTAGATCTATGTATGTCTCTCTTAGTATCCCCATTGTTGTCTAAGTTCTCTGGGATTGTGGTTTGTAGGCTGGCTTTCTTTGCTTTATGTTTAAAAACAACCTATGAGTAAGTACATGTGATAATTGTCTTTCTGTGTCTGGATTGCCTTATTCAAAATAATGTTTTCTAGCTCCATTCATTTTCCTGCAAAATTCAAGATGTCGTTATTTTTTTGTTTCTGCTGTGTAGGACTCCATTGTATAAATGTACCACATTTTCCTTATCCATTCTTCGGTCGAGGGCCATTTAGGTTGTTTTCAGGTTCTGGCTATGACAGACAAAACTGCTATGAACATAATTGGGCACATGTCCTTGTGACACGATTGAGCATCCTCTGAATATATACCTCAAAGTGGTATTACTGGGTCTTGAGGAAGGTTGTTTCCTAGTTTTCTGAGAAATCGCCACACTGACATCCAAATGGGGCTGTACCAGCTTGCATTCCCACCAGCAATGCAGAAGTGTTCCCTTTTCCCCCAACCTCTCCAGCATAAATTGTCGTGTTTTTGATCTTGGCCATTCTTACAGGTGTAAGATGGAATCTCAGAGTTGTTTTGATTTGCATTTCTCTGATGACTAAGGACGTTGAACATTTCCTTAAGTGCCTTTCAGCCATTTTAGATTCCTCTGTTGAGAGATCTTTGTTTAGGTCTGTACTCCATTTTTTTATTGGATTATTATGTGATCTTTTGGTGTCCAGTTTTTTGAGTTCTTTGTATATTTTGGAGATCAGACCTCTGTCTGATGTGGGGTTAGTGAAGATATCTTTTCCCATTCTGTAGGCTGTTGTTTTGTCTTGTTGACCATGTCCTTGGCTTTGCAGAAGCTTTTCAGTTTCAGGAGGTCCCATTTATTAATTGTTTCTCTCGGTGTCTGTGCTGCTGGGGTTATATTTAGGAAGTGGTTCCCTGTGCCAATGTGTTCAAGTGTACTTCCCACTTTCTCTTCTATAAGGTTCAGGGTGGCTGGCTCTATGTTGAGGTCTTTGATCCATTTGGACTTGAGTTTTGTGCATGGTGATAGATGTGGTTCTATTTTCATTTTTCTACATGTTGATATCCAGTTATGCCAGCACCACTTGTAAAATATGCTTTCTTTCTTCCATTTGATATTTTTTGCTTCTTTATCAAAGATCACGTAGGCTGTAGTAGGGCGACCCAGTAGGAAGAAAAGGATCCAAGAGGAGGTGAAAGAGTCATAGACACCTCCACTGCCACTGTTAGGGGTCCCACAAAAGCCCCCAAGACACACAACCACACTATGTGTGCAGAAGATGTCGGGCAGATCCATGCGGGCTCTGTGACTGCCACTTCTGTCTCCGTGAGCCTCTGTGAGCAAGCCCTGCTTAGTTGGTTTGGTCGCCTGTGTTCTCCTGGTAGCCTCCATTCCCTCTGATTGCTACAGTTTTCCTTTGCTCTCCCACAGGGCTCCACAAGCTTAGAGAGAGGGACCCAATTGGAGATCTCCAATTTAGATATAATGTCTGGCTGTAGGTCTCTGCACCTGCTCCCTTCAGCTGCTACAGGAAGGCTTTTCAGTGACGACTGGACAAGGGACCCATGTATGAGTATAGGAGAATCGCATTAGGAATCATTTTTATTTGTTTCTTTTCTTCTGCCAGTCCTGTCAGTTCTACCCTAGGCTTCTAGACTCCAGAGCATGGGCTCCCTCCTATGGCCTGGGCCTCAAGTTAAACCAACTTTGACCATGGTTGCCCCAGCACCTCCCGCAGATTGGACAGCTCGAGGGTTTATGGCTGGGTTGGTGTCCTGGTTTCTCTTTCTGTAGCCTGTGGAGTACCGTCACACACCAGAGACCAGAGCGTAGGGGTGAAGGCTCCATGCAGGTACCAGCTCAACGTCTCTACCCTTTGGAAGCTCTTATACAGAATTGTGTCACCTAGCCACTCTGCCAGAAGAGATCTCATCCTGACAGTGGAGAAAGGGCTGCAGGCGAGAAAGGGGCTCTTAGGGCAACAGCTCTAAGAAGAAAAGAGATGGTGCTGGCTCAGTCCCACCCTCGGTGGCTGGAGACAGTTCTGAGGAGTTCCCCTCTTTGTCATAGAATCCCGGGGATCACTCAGCCCTTATGGTTTCTCTTGCCATGGCTTATATCTGATTGAGCTTATGATTCTCTGACTTACTACAGAAGAAAGTGTTGGCTTTTCTTCTGCCTTTCCTCTACTCTTCCATGAAAGGAAATTCCTACTGAAGTACTCTTGCTTTTAGTTTTTAAGACTTTTTTTTTTCACAAAAGATTTATGTTTTCCAATAATCTTTGCTGAGTCACCAAATGTCTAAAATTCAACTCAAATAAAAGAAGGCAGTCTGTTCCTATTCCATTAGGTTTTTCCTTTGGGTAATTTTATAACAAGACATTATTAACTCAGTACGCTTATGCATGCTCTTCTCTTCCTTCCAAGCCTATGCTGTTGCTCTTGCTTATGTAGGTCATATTGGTAGCTGCTTCATTAATACCAGTTTCTCACAGGAAACATTGGTCTTCCATTCATCCCATTTCTCAGATATAAAGATCTGAATCAGGAGTTACACTGTGCTGGAGGTGTGGCTTTCATTGATACAATGCATGTACAAAGCCCTGGGTTTAGCTCCGAGCTCCCCTCAACACACGCAAACACATGTACTCACTCATGCCCCCCACACAAAGGGAATCACTTGTATTCTAAAAGACCCTTAAGTATTGGTAAGGTTTCTGAAAGGCATTCCATGTGTTCTGAGAGAAAGCACAAACCATAACTAGGATATCTGTGGTGGGGCCAGGTGAGAGCAGTGCGATCCTGGCCAGCATGGGGAAGAGGAGCCATGTGAGAGGGCATTGCTCAGGAGGTGCTGTTTCCTTAGTAGTTTTGAAGGTGTGTGTGTGTGTATGTGTGTGTGTGTGTGTGTGTGTTGCCAAAGCTCTTGTGCATACTTAATTTACTTGTAAAGAAGGCGGTCAACACTCTGGAGGCTGAAGCAAGAGGATCATGAGTTCAGAGAGAACCAACTTGGGCTGGTCTTTCCAAGCTTTACCTTCTCAGTCGTTGAGTTCTCCTCACCAAAGATCGTCTTCCTCTTCTCTGATTCAGGTCTCCTGTTACGTTTCTATGCATGTGAGCCGTTTAAGACTGTGATGAAAATCAGAGCTTACATATAGCGTGTAATTTTGTTACAGAATTTCTCTTCTTGGGCTAGAGGTATACAGAGTCAAGCACATACCTAACATATATGATGTCGTGCGCTTGTTCCCTAGCAACACACACATACAAACACAGACACACTTAGTGAGAACAATGAAGAAGGGAGAGAGAAAAGAACACTAAGCAACAGGTTTCTCTGTTCCCTCCTTCCCTCTCACTTTGTGTTTTCTTCTTCTCAAGTATGTTTTTGAGAATTTATGCAAATGTAGAAATGCAGTCTTAATGTGTTATTTTCCTATGTTCTCATAAAATGAGTTGGAACTTGAGACGGAGGTTTTATATATATGTCCCAGTTTGCAGTAAGAGATTGCAGGAGAAACTAAATGAGGTTTAATATATATATCCTAGTCTGTAGTAAGAAATTGCAGTAGAAACTACATTTCAATTCTGTAAATTCTAAAAATATGTGTTTTAATGATGAGGTCTAGAGATAATCCAGGGTATTTAAAGTTTGTTGGAATTGTTGGTGAAATGTTTCTAATTCATGCCAGTAATGAACCCTGATCATCCACCAGTCCCTTCCCCTTCCTCACAGTTTGGCTTCTAGTCTGCGCGTCAACAGTTGAGTGACTTCTGTGTTTCAGCTATCATGGTTAACACTGCAGTGACCATGGATGTGCAGATATGCCTACATGACCCCGTGTTTAGCTTTCTAGGTGTATATTAGGAATAAGGTATAAATTTTATGTTATATGTGGTTTACCATTTAAAATAAACTGCCTAACCAATATGAAACCAGTAAGAAATTTGTAGGGTTAGGAGACAGTCGTATCATTTTAAGGTAATGAGATACTTTAGACAAATATATGCCTGCAACTCCTGTTCTTGTGTTCTTACCTAAGCAAACTTCCTACATCCAAATACACCGAATAAATGTAGAGGCCTGGGGAGGTGGGGAAGGGAAAGAGAGGCCGGACGCCTGCATGATGGTCCCGTCTCACTGACTCCTTTACTGGAAGTAGATTTGTTTCCTCACATAATGTGGGTTCCCCTCCCTCTACTCCTCCCAGTTCCTCCCCACCTCCCCTCCCTTTTAAATCCATTCCTTTTCTGTCTCTCATTAGAAAACAAATAGACTTCTAAGGGATAATAATAAAACACAGCAAAATAAAATACAATATGATAAAATAAAAACTGTCACGTTGGAGTTGGCCCCTTTTTTAAGTTAAAAATTCCTTGCTCTGGAATTTGTGGCAGAGAGAAAGAGAGCACTGCCTCTGCTTCCTCCTCTGCTGGAGACTGAAAGCGCTGCGTTCTCTTGTTGAAGATGTTTCGTACCCATTCCAGCCAGCTGTGCTCCTTAGCAGTCAGCCGTCAGCTGCCGTACTGTTGCAAGTGCATTCTAAATTGGCCGGCTCACTGTTGGGACCATTTTCACAAGTCACAATGCTGCAAGTCTGCTGTGTCCCCACGGGACAGTAAACAGGATGAGGATGAGGCTGAGGAACATGACACATGAGCAGACCTGGGCTGTTTCATCTGAAAAAACAAAACAGCAAGGACGGGAGAGTCACCCAGGTCTTCTGACGTCTGAGCCACCAGTGTTTGACGGGAGCTCACTTGGAACATGAGTACAAGTGACAGGACAAAGCTGAGCCTCTTGTCCCCGCCCCAGGAAGTCCTTCTGTAAAATGTAGCTCACTTTCTACCTGCAGAGTTAGATGAGAATGCCTTCTTGGTGGTCTCATGGACAGTGTTTGACGCCCTAGGGCTTTAAGGAATCCAGTTTAGAAACTACTGATCAAGACCTTAACTACAAGATTTAAAAAAAAATAGTTATTCTAAATGTTTTTTTACCGTAATTGTTCAATATAAAAAATTAGCCATCAAAGGATTCCGAGCAGCAAAAAGGTAGAGTTTGTTTGTATTTAGAAAGTCACTGTGCTGACAGTACAGTCACCGTCGGGTTCCCAGAAGCCCGGTCATTGGGGCTGTAGCACCCCTCAGTCCTCTTTTTTATGGAGTAGGCAAAAAATGCCTATAGACTAAGTATCAAAGATAGGGAAACTTAAACACCTCTGTTAAACAATTTTGGGATCCGTGTTGGGGAGAGGAGGGTCTGAATTAATTCTCAGCTCCTTGCTGTCTGGCAGAGGTGGGCGAGCTGCGGGTTTAGTGGGAACCGTCTTGCCCTTAGCCTCAGAGGTCAGCTGGCATCAGGTCCGTCTGCTGTGATGGCCGGCAGTTGTAAACCTGGAAACAGAACTGAGGGCAGTCTGAGCTAAAGAAATTGCTTCGGGAGACAGGCAAAGCCATAGGAGCCCCAGGAGCGGGGGATTCAGATAGAAGATGAAGGGAAAGCATCAGCCGCCCTCCCATGCAGTTTCTGAGCAGTTTAAATGTCTGTGATTATCAGCACAAACATAAACGTGAATAGAAGAGAAATATTTAAAATGTCCTGTCCTTGACACTGGTACACTTCATAATAAAATTATGATAAATATTTCATTAAAATAATGAAGTGTTTTTATAGTCAGGAGTATGTGGGGTCTTTATGTACTTGTTTCATATTTATATAGTCTGGACACATTTTTCATTTCACATTTAAGAAATGATTGTGTTGGTCTTGACTTTGACCAGAATAAATTTATTATATGACTTACTGAAAATAATTCCCCATTTCAATAAATACCATACTTCTTAAAATGTTAGAGCTTACGCCCTCCTTCTGTATTTCTTTGCCTAAGGAAATGCCACATCACCCCAAGTACAACGACCATCTTTCATGGACTACTTTGATAAGCAGGACTTGAAGAACAAAAGTCATGAGAACTGCAATCAGAATGTGCGTGAGCCCTGCCCTGTGTCACAGAGTGTGTTTCCTGATGACTGGAGAGTCCCTCACGATGGAGACTTTGACTTTGTGAGTACATTTTCTTTCTTCTTTACTGTATGTCTATAAATTATAGACTGTGTATTAATGTGTAATCATAGCTATGGCTTTAATTGTAGCTTACTTATAGAGCTGTATTTACAGAAAAATGTAAATATTGCTAAATAAATCAACTCAAATTTAGAGAAACATGTAGGCCCTCAAATACTGTACATGATAACCATTTCAGTTATCAAAATAAACCATGTAGAGTCATATACTCTAACATGACATGTACATGGACTCTATATCTCATGGCCTAGACATTGAAAACTAAGTGTTAACTCTACTTGGTTTCTGTATTAAAACTGTGTCTGGTACACAGGGCTTCAGTGTGAATCTGTCTGGTGACAGGGAGCTTCAGTGTGAATCTGTGTCTGGTACACAGGGCTTCAGTGTGAATCTGTGTCTGGTGACAGGGAGCTTCAGTGTGAATCTGTGTCTGGTACACAGGGCTTCAGTGTGAATCTGTGTCTGGTACACAGGGAGCTTCAGTGTGAATCTGTGTCTGGTGGCACAGGGCTTCAGTGTGAATCTGTGTCTGGTGACACGGGGCTTTAGTGTGAATATGTGTCTGGTGACAGGGAGCTTCAGTGTGAATCTGTCTGGTGACACAGGGCTTCAGTGTGAATGTGTGTCTGGTGACAGGGAGCTTCAGTGTGAAACTCTGTCCTAGTGTGTATTTTGTTTCATTTTCTTTATTTCTTCTACTTGGTTTACTATTATTTGTTTCTTTTAAAAATGCAAAGAATACAGATAAATAATTTTAATGCAAATCATTTTAATGTATTTGTTTCCAGAACTTGAAAGACTAAGTTCTCATGATGAATTCTTTAATGAAAAAAAAAATTGCAGTAGAATTTTGCTTCAGTAAGTTTAAATGCTTTGATACTTCTACAAAGTGTTCAGGAATGGTTATTCTCCAAATAAAATTATAATCATTTATAATTATATTTTTAGTAGACATAATACTTATAAGCAAATAAAATGTAAATGATACATATCTTACAATTTTAAGTGATTTAAGTAGTATTTACCCATTTTTAAATATGATAAATGATTTGGGATTATAATTATTTTAAAGTGGTGCCTTTCAGGATCACTGTTATTTTTGAGTATGTATGTGTGTATATGTGTTGTGTATATTTGTACATGTTTGTATATATAGGTGTGGTTTTAGAAACCAGAGGCAGTAATTGGTTCTCACTTCCCACATGTGACTTTCGGGGCTTGTACTTGGATCTCTGGGCCCTCACCCGCCGGGCCCTCACCCACTGGGGCCCTCACACACCAGGCCCTTACACACCGGGCCCTCACCCCCTGGGCCCTTACCTACCAGTGCCCTTACACACCGGCCCTTACCCCCTGGGCCCTTACCTACCAGTACCCTTACCCACCGGGCCCTTATCACCTGGGCCCTTACCTCCTGAGCCCTTATACACCGGGGGCCCTTACCCACTGTGCCATTTCGCTGTCCTGAGATTAAAAATATTTTTAATTTTGAAAGCTTTTCTCCTAAATGTCTTTATTACTTGAGGTTTTTTTTTTCATATGAGGTATTAATATTTAAAAATCTCAGGCTAGAGAGATGGCTCAGAGGTTAAGAGCACTGGCTGCTCTTCCTGAGGTCCTGACTTCAATTCCCAGCAACCACATGGTGACGCACCACCATCTACAATGAGATCTGGTGTCCTCTTCTGGCCTGCAAACATACATACAGGCAGAACACAGTATACATAATAAATAAGTCTTTTTAAAAAGTTTTAAAAATCTCACCTCAATAAATTTAGCAATAATTGCTAGTAAATATCAACACTGTGACCCATGGGTTATCCTGAAAACAGTACAGTACTGTTTACCATTTTTTCAACATTAAAGAACTTAAAAAAAAAATCTGTATTTCCTTTGTTCTGGTGCGATTTCATTTTAAGCCATTTACTCTAAAAATACATAAATTATTTAGATTGCTGACATTCTAACTGTAAATCATTCATGAGCATGATGAATAATGTAGAATACTTAGCATCAAAGAATTCTGCCTTGTTTCAGAATAAATCTTAACCTCTTGGATGGTTTAAAATGAGCACACAATGGGTGGTGGATAAAATACCACAGTTAAGGATTAGCGAGTAAGATGGATTGGTATTGCTTCAGTAATCGTCGGAACCATCCTCCAACTTATGTCTGTATGGGCATGTGTGTGTCCCATGTATGGGCATGCGTGCGTCCCGTGTATGAGCATGCATGCGTCCCGTGTATGGGCAAGCGTGTGTCCCATGTATGGGCATGTGTGCGTCCCGTGTATGGGCAAGCATGTGTCCCGTGTATGGGCATGTGTGTGTCCCGTGTATGAGCATGCGTGTGTCCCGTGTATGAGCATGCGTGCGTCCCGTGTATGGGCATGTGTGTGTCCCGTGCACGTCTGGATATCACAGGACACTGAAATAGTCAGTTCTCTTTCTCCACTGTATGGGTCCTGGGGATTAAGGACTGCGCCCCAGGCCTGGCTTTATTTGCTTGTCATTTTGTGGAATAGCGGTGTGACTGGCTTCGTTACATGATTTATCTGTAGGTCTCACCTAGGTTTCTCAAATGACTTCAGGAATTTATCACTGTGATCAGGGCAGCTGAATGGCCTCTGAATTGGTCTGTGTAGGTTTCTGGCAGACCCCGTGGTTCCGCACTACACCCTTAGGCTCTCCATTTACGACGCACAGATGGTGTGTCGGTGTGTGCAGCATTGGAGGCCTCTGGATGCGGGAGAACAGAAGCCGTGCTCCTCTTAGAACAACGTCAGACAGTGAAAGGCTTGTGCACTGAAGACTGCAAGGTGCCGCTCAAAGTAGAGCAGAGCATGAGAATGTGTTTCCTGTTCATTGTTGGAAGACTTAGGGGGTCTGCAGACTCAATTTCTCCATTCAAACTATGGCAACACTTTCTAGAGAAGCACAAAAATTCATCCTAAATTCTAGGGCCACTAAACGTTAAGCTAGCTTTGAAAAGAAAGTCAAAGAAGCAAAGGCCACCGCACTGAGTGAGAGCTGTGTGGTGGTGCTAGTGTGAATGCTGAGAGATGCACCCCCTAGTGGTGAGGAGCCTCCAGCTAATCCCTCGTGTGCCTGTGCAGTCAGGATGGTTTGACGGTGGTGCGGAGAGCGCGGTGTCCGGCAGCTCTGACCACTTTGTCAGAATTCCTGAGGGAATGACTTATAACATGAAGGAATTTATTTGAGCCCACAGTTTTAGAGGCCCCAGAATATGATCGGGTAAACACATTGCTTTCAGACCCCTTGTGGTGTGCAGGGACTCAGAAGCAGTGAGTCTCACATCCGTCCTTCCCAATAGTGCCACCCCTTCAACACACGCATCTTTGAGTGACATGCATTGTCCAAAATATGGCCCAGGAGGGTAGCTGTTTTGACAGATGTACAGGAAAAGCTGCATAAACCTTAGAAGGGAATGAAGCCTGGCACTTGCCTTGCTCTGTGCACAAAAGTCAACCAGAGTCAATCAAAGGAGCAAATAGAGGAACTGGAGAGGTGGGGCGATTCCTGACTCTGAGTTCCTTCCTTTTTCTCTTGGGTATGACGGCAGAATAACAAGTGGTAGAGCAATAAATAGATAAACCAGACTGCATCCAACCTAAACGTGTGTATGACAGTCAGATATCATTGCAGTGAAGAATAACCCACAAAATTGGGGGGGTAATTCAGATTACATATTTGGTGATGTGTTAATATCTGACATGTTTAATGAACAACTAAATAATGATTTTAATGATAATGATAAATAAGGACAAAATTATTTCAAAAGTGAATAAAGGAGCTAAGTAGCAACTTCTCCAATGAAGATAAAGTACTGACAAATACATTAAAAAGTGCTCAGTGTCACTAGTCAGTAGAGAAGTAAAACTCAAAGAAATAGTGAACTTTAATAAGCAAAACCCTAAAAATGGAAGTTGATAGGTGTGTGTGTGTGTGTGTGTGTGTGTGTGTGTGTGTGTGTTCTCAGCCTTTTGGCTAAAATCAAGTACAGAAAATCAAGTTTTCAGTTAGCATATATAAGGCAAATTAATGAGAAATATTGATAGTTTTCTTTTCTATTCCTGTTTTTCCTGCCGCTTTACTAGAAGTCAGCCCTTGGGCTTTCACCTTTCCTAGCTCACAGAGTCCTGGTGTTCATCCTGTCACTCAGCACAGCTTTCTACAATTAAGATTATCGTGTAGAATTGATTGATAGGAAAAGACAAGAAAGTAAGTCGTGAGGTGTGGACTTGGGATAAAACAGTAATTAAATATAACAGAAATAAAGCAGCTTGCATCAGCGTAGGAGACATCAGGGAGGACTCGGGAGGGGGGATGTCCTCAGCAGACAGGGACTTCAGGGCTTACAGTGGACCCAGCTCTTGCAGACAGAGACTTCAGGGCTTACAATGGACCCAGCTCTTGCAGACAGAGACTTCAGGGCTTACAATGGACCCAGTTCTTGCAGAATGATTTCTCCACTTACTTGCACAGACTGTGTAGCCTTTAAGAGAAATTGAGGGAGTGACCTCCCAGCCTCTGCTTCACCTGCCGTCTGCAGCAACTCCACATTCTCATCATGTTGAGGGATGAAAAATGTGTGTAGCAGCCTCAGAAGAGCACATAATAGGGATAAGTAGAAGAAGGGTCGTCTGGAGATGAGGGAAGCGTTGATAAGAATCAAGTGCATTTGGTAGAAGGTAACGTGTGACAGCGTCAGAGGAAGCACGGGTGGACACTGTGGTTTGGTACGATGCTTCCCTCAGTGTAACGGAGCAAACTAAAGGCAAGAAAGACTCCACCTGACCCCAGCTGCTGGTCACTAGGGGATTCTGGTCATATTCACTCTGATGTGTCTCATACAGAGTGTTCAAGTATGTGACTCTTTGGAATGGGGAGTGTGTAAAGCATCCCGTGTCCTCTCTGTATGGTATGTTTCAAGGCTGTTTCCAAAAGAGAGCTGACTCT